TCTCAGTTTAAGCACTATGGGTGATGAGGCAGGATACAGTCACCTTGGCTCTGGCTTTAGCATTCTGCCCCAGACTTGTGTACTGTGGTCTGGCTCCCAGCCCAACGTTCCCCTGCTCACATCGATGCTGCCGCATGGCACACAGGATTAACTATCAGTTGAGCCCTGATTGTATATTGATTCCCTGTCAGGATGGGTTTAAGCAGTGTTCCTGTTAGGGGTGGGCGATTTGGTCTTATATCATGATATGAGTAATTTTATTTCACGGTAACGATATAAATCACAATATAGTTATTTTTGCTTTAAATAAAAGGTCTTTATGATGTCAAAAGTTTTGATACCATTGAAATTTCGTAATTCCAGTCATCAGTGTAAATATCACAAAAAACAAATACTAGTCTAAATAAAAAAAATAAAAATCTCAAGCTCACTGCAGACAAGTAAACAGTCAGCGATTAAATAAGAATAAGAAACTAAATACAAGCAATAGGACATAAAAACATCAGTAGAACAAGTATATGCTACATACATTGTATAAAGTTATCAAATGTATAAAAACTGCATATTCTTCACTGTGTAAATTAAATATATATTTCTTATTGATTAAAGTTACAAAAGTGATTTAGTCAAGAGTAGTAAGAGATTTTCTCTCTTTTGTTGTTTGATTAACATGAATGACAGAGAGCAGGAATATTAGACTGCTGTCACTTTAAGAGCTGCCCGGATCCAGTATACTGTTACCCGTGTTTCTTTCTCAGCTGTTTGCTTTCACTTAAGACCTAAATTACTGTGTTTACGAGGATACTTGCAAAGACAGGCATTTTGACACATACAAGTGTGTGTATTTAACCGTTCAAGGCCTATAAAGCAGCAAAAATACCTCCATTCAATACTCCCGCGCTCTATGAGCACCGTCTTCACGTGTGCATGCCTCTCTGACAGCGCTCAGAAACAGTCTCTCAGACAGCGCGCACATATAGCGACATCAGTTCTCTTTCGCTGCTGATTGCGTTTCAACGGCTTAAAATCACTTGTTTTTAAACCGCAATGCTTAAAAACGTGTGCAAACAATATGTTTTCATGACTGCGTAGTACAGCAACGTCATGTGAGCGTGCAACCACGATAGAGACGATATGCTACATTCACACCATGTCGTAATTACTGTAATTTCGAAATGACAACACGTGACGTTCTACCTGGAGCTGTTCATACCCTTGGATTCGGAACTATTGCACTATCAATGCCTAAACATAGCGCCTAATGAATCTGAGGTGGTCAGGTGGTACAAGGTGTAGTGCTGCATTCACGCCATGTCGTAATTACTGTGATTTTGAGATGACAACACGTGACGTTCTACTTGGAGCTGTTCACACTCTTGGTCTCGGAACTATTGTACTATCAATGCCTAAACATAGCGCCTAATAAATCTGAGGTGGCCAAGTGGTAGTGGTACAAGTTGTAGCTCTCCGAAAACTCCCAGTTTACAAATTGTAATTACTAGTTCTATGAGGACGTGAACTCATTTTACAAGTTGGTATCTCGTAATTACGGTAATTATGATATGGCGTGAATGCACCTATAGTCAAAAATCTCTACCGGTTGACAAATTTCTACCGGTTAATCCTGTCTACTCTACCGGTATATCGCCCACCCCTAGTTCCCGTTTCTTTCTGTGTGTATGTACTGGTTCTGTTGACTGCAGGTAACACTTTTACAATCAACTTCGTCTCCCTTTTTTCTTTCTTGTCTTGCTTCACAAACCAGAGTCCGTTCAGTTCAGTTTTTTTGAAGGTGTGTGAGACTGTAAAGTACTTTACAATAATTTGTTAACATTAGTTAACTACATTAGTTCAAATGAAGATACAATAAAAATACTTATAGTATTTATTCATCCTCATTAATGCTAATTTCAGCATTTACTAATACATTATTGAAATCTTAAGATGTATCTGACTGTTAATATTGTTTAATGGACATGAGCTAGCATGACCTAACAAGGAAGAGTTGTATTTTTATCAACTAACGTTAACAAAGATGAATAAATACTGTAACAAATGTATTGCTTATTGTTAGTAAATTAGGCATGGACTAATATGAACTAATTGGACTTGTATATTTTTTTTTGACCCAATTGTTTCTTCACACTTGAAGTAAAAATATTAGCTAATCAGAAGAAACAGAACATTTGATCTGTAATATTTAGATACATGTAACAGAATTTTTAACCAATGAGATTCCATTGTGCGCTGGGCTACTGCTTTGCGACAGTTTTAAATGAGTTATTCTTCAGTTGTCATTTTTTAAATGGAAAATGCCACTGTGCTTCTGTCTGTGAATAATTTCATATAACTTTATTGTTCATATGAAAGTCTTTGTTTTCCATGTGACTTTAATAAGGTTTCAGTCGTGCAGTCGTGCAGCAGTCAGGTGAGCTTTCCTAGTATGGAATTTGTTTGCGGATGCAGCTGTAATGGAGGGAAAATAATTACAGTATTGATTTGACCATTATTGATTTTTACTTTTTGCTGCCTTTTTTGCACCCCAACATTATTTTTGTCTGTGTTGTCTGGCCAGACTGTGACTATCATGGGAACAGCACTGCAATAAAACAGCTGGCACAAAGATGTATGTAATCATGGGCTTCATTATTTGACATGTTTCAGTTTGCAGGAGTACGTACATACATATGTGCAGTTCTAAGTTGTCCATATAACAATCCAATATTTTATATATAAATAATATATAATATATATAATTATATGTATGTATATATAAAACATTGGAAAAATATAATATAATAAATGTTATATAATTAATATATTTTTTATAATATAATGTAAATAAATGTAGATGAGATTAGATTCAACTTTATTGTCATTGTGCAGAGTACAAGTACAGAGCCAATGAAATGCAGTTAGCATCTAACCAGAAGTGCAAATAGCCATTGTGTATAATAAGTGTAAATATGTATATAAATATATATGTGTGTATATACATTTGCGAGGGACAGGTGCAGAGACCAGCTCAATGCAGTTTGTCTATGAAATAAAGTGCAAGGTGCAGTCTAAATCTACATTAATATAGTGCAATGTGGATACAGTACAGTAGGGTGAAAATGAGAAGTATAAAACACAGAAGGTGCAGTATTCAGAATGAGGTATTTGTAAATATATAAACATATTGCCAGTGACCATAGTGCAGTGGGGTAGAATGTACAAAGGAATGTGCAACACCAATAACAAATGATGCTGTAGTTTTTAAATAATATTTTATAATATATTTTAGGGCTGCACGATAAATCGCATGCGATATTTAATGCGCATCTTGTCAGAAAGCCGGTTCTGTAATCAGCGGTAAATCTCCACCTGCGTGCTTTCACATTGAGCAGCATTAACTACACAGAGCCTTTGTTCACTGACGAGCTGCGCAAAAAATCGCGCGAATATGAACGTGGTTTAGCGCAGCTCGTCAGTGAACAACGGCTCTGTGTAGTTAATGCTGCTCAATGTGAAAGGCCGCAGGTGATGGAGATTTACCGCTGATTACAGAACCGGCTTTACTGATAAGATGCACGTTAAATATCGCATGCGATTTATCGTGCAGCCCTAATATATTTACATTTTTACTTATAGATGAATATGACCAGATATTGTAAGAAAATAGCCAAAGAATGTGGAAAATATTATTAATAAGCAAAGAGTAGTTGTGTACCTGCAGATGTTAAAACATTCTTCTTTGTTTCCATTTTTTCATTTTGCATTTTTCTCCTCCCTGTTTTCCTCCTTGAATAATGTTGACAGTTTTTGCACAGATGGCAGATGCATTTTGTCAGACCTTTAGACATTAGTCATGTGTGTCTGTTTGTGGGTCGCCTCATTCCTCTGTGTGCACGTGCACGCCGTGTGTTGAACACACAAGTCCTGCTAAATCGACTCGATTACAGTGAGGAAACTGTGACTTGCCGTTCATTAAGAAACTAATGAAGTCTTTTTACCCTGCAGTGAAGTAATACAAGTTCATAACATTCATTTTAATTCAGCTAGAAGCAAGACAGAGCGTTAACAACAGATTTATATAAGAAAATTTTAATGATGTGATGCAGTTTTGTTCTCTGTGTTTTTAAACCGATATTGCAATACCTTCCTACCCAAATCGTTTTGTTTATTTATATTTTATATTCATTTCATATTCTGAAAACAATTGTACCATCTTCCACGTTCACACAATTTTCCTTCTCGTTCCTCATGGCAGACTTTCTCCTATGAATCACCTGAGCGTGAAACCGTGTGTCCTTGGACACCCCAGCACCCTCTAATGCACCCCAAGGTCCTATTGCCGCCCCCCATTCCCCCTGCAGACCCCCAGCCCACTCACTCCCCCTGACACCCACATGCAAGAGGGAGGGTCGCTGGTCTGGACTCTTCAGCTCTTTCATTCCACAGATCGTTTAACATTTCATTACTGCAGCCAAGCGCAACCTCAGTGTCAAGATGACTTTGGTAATGTTCAAAACACATCTTTGTTCCGGCAGCATGTTGTGAGAAACATACCAGCTATGTTATCGTCAGCGTAAGATTGCCTCTCCTTCCACTTTGGATCATCATTTTATTTTTTATAAATAATTAAAATCATAGTAATTTTGTTAAGAAATATGGGATGAAGGACCGAAAGGACAGAAATTATAGAGAAAAGTGAAAAACAAACAAACAGTAATAGTAATGATAGTAATCATATTTATTGCAAGAATAATCTAATAATTACAATTATTAATTTATTATAAAATTGCACACACACACTTATTTTATCTCTTTTTTTCACTGTCCTTTTTTAACTCTCTTCCTGCATTTTTTAACAAAATTATTTTGAGGCAGAAGATCTGTTTAAAATCCAACAAAAATGTCACTGGAGCCTTGTTTTAGCCCCTCTCGATTTAGAACAGCCTGTTTTAATATTTGAAAATCCTGATCCAAAATATGTTTTATGATCTTCCTTCCTGTAGTGTGAAGAGGCCAGCGGGCATGGGGGGCATCTTGAATCGCATTGGGGCCAAAAAGCAGAAGATGAGCACTTTGGAGAAGTCTCAGATGGACTGGAATGCCTTTAAAACAGAGGAGGGCATTGCAGATGAGCTGGCAATCCATAATCGAGGCAAAGAAGGGTATGTTTAAGCCTCATTAGTGACCCAGACAAACACATCATCTCATATTATCTCCCAGTAGTGCCTCACACTAGCTCAGGGGTGGCGAACGTCGGTCCTGGAGAGCCGCAGCCCTGCAGAGTTTTGCTTCAACCCTAATCAAACACACCTGAACAAGCTAATCAAGGCCTGAAGGGTTACTAGGAAGCTACAGGCAGGTGAGTTTTAATTAGGGTTGGAGCTGAACTCTGCAGGGCTGCGGCTCTCCAGGACCGGAGTTCGCCACCCCTGCACTAGCTTCTGAGATTTTCATCATAACTGAATAAATATCATTAAGTGTCTTCAGTGCTTAAAGCCAGTGTGCTGGCGTATTGTATTTCAGTGCAATTTTTTATAATACATTACAATTCATTAATTATGCACTGAAGTTAACTGGACAGTAAAATGAATGTATTTGGGGTAAAAACCATATGCTGCGCATGCATTTGATTAACATTCTGGCCTTTGCAGTTGCTCTTAGCACTAGGGATGAGCATTTCGAAAAATTTTGTAGTGAGTACAAAAAGTTAGTAGATTCTGTTCTGGCTAAATTACGAGTCATTCCTTACTGTTTCTCTGTTGAAAGATCTGTGCTGTCTCTTGTTGGTTTTTCTGCATACGTACATGTGTAGGAGAGATGTGGGTGTTAAATATGTGGCCTCACAATGCAGGTGTCTGCTCACACACATCTGATTGGTTGATTGGGGAGGAACTACATGAAGAAATATACAATATAGTTTAAATGGGTCCACTTGTGAAAGTTTTTAATTCACTTTTTTAATGTAAAACTTTTTTACTCTTTTCCTTTTAATTTAAAACTCTTTTTTCCATTATAAATATTATGTCATAGCAATAGGTGAAATGTTGAATAGAAAATAATAGAATAGAATAGACAACAGCACTTGAGCTACACATATTTGTGTAAAACCTGATGATCTTTTTTTGATAAATTGTTGTAGTCAGTGTTTAGACAAAAAAATATATATTTTTTTAATTGACTGAATATTTTGTCATGTCATATTAATTCATTTTAGTCATTTTTACTTATTTTTTACATTATTTTAGTCGATGCATTTGGGTGAGCTAATTATCCCACTAGTAAAGTGTTTTCGGTTTACTGGTGTACATTTAGTGTTCAGCTTCAGCTCTTACAGTTCATTCACCAACATTATTGATTCTGATTAGGTTATTGAAACAGCTAGGTTTTTTATTTATTTATTTTTTTTTAGATTTTTCTTGAATTATTGTTAGTGCATTGCTAACATCTTGCTGTATATTTCTCGTTATATGTTTGCCAAATGTATGTTTTAATTAAAATGATTTAATTATCGTCACGATGCATACTCTCTGTGTCATCTTCGTAATTGTTGACGGAATGAAAAACCTCTTTGTAAAATGGAGATTAACATTGCCCTTAAGACTGGTCTAGGATCAGTATTCAGTAAATCAGCAGAATGAATGGAGTGGGAGCTAAGCCAATAGCACTTCATTTAAACCTGCTTATCTTGGCCTTGATGGCTATCTTGAGGAGAAAGAGGTGAAGAATAGGACTCAAAAGCTGATGATGCAAAGCTGTACCAAAAAAGCTTATGTTAACCAGGGTCAAAAAGTTTAACGTAGTGCTTACAGGAAGTGAATGAAATATTGCAGTATTGACTTCTCGCTTTTATTAGAGCAGTTTCATCATGGTTCTCGTTTGAGCTGGAATTGAAACAGGGTGTAGCTTAGTGGGCTTTAAAACTGGAGAAACATTATGAAGTAAAATGTTTAATAGGTATTTTATGATTCTGCACTATTTCCAGGTCACTAATCAAATAAGTACATCTGTGAGAATCATATGACTCTTTCTATAGATAGTCAGATGTTCTTCTTCCATTAAAGCTCAATATACCCTTTTAATCATCTCCAGAGTCCAGTCACGCTGGAGAACATCAACATCATGTTTTACACAAATTTGTGGAGTTCATGCAGCTCAAGATTAGGCTTGCCGCGATAGACGGTGCTGACGGTGATACCGTTGTTAAGCCGCAACAGCGGTTACGTCACTTGCCCACCGCGACACCGACCCCCACCATCGTTTAGATTTTTTATAGTAATAAAAATCATTTAGTTCAGTAAAAGAACAGACACTACAATTAAAAACTGAATGCGGCTGCTCAATGCAG